GCCTTGAGAATGTATCACACTACCCGTAACACTTCCTGTAACATCAAAACATATATTCTGAATTTTAAAAATTTTACCTGGACATGTGTGAAGTGAACGCTCAGACCGATTTCGACAACATTCCGAAATCCATATAAGGTTCACCTCACACTTGGTTCGCTACACACCAACGGACTTCGCATCGCCAAACAAATAACGCCAATGCCCTTCAAAGCTGTAATAGTTGCAACAATGCAGTTCCTTAGCAAGAAGCTGATAGTCATACAGAATACATGCCTTAGTCCCTGTCACATCTAAGCCATGAGCAATACAATTCTACCCAAGCAATTGAGCACAAAGAACCACTGATCGTTCCTACACTACAACAAACTTCATTAGACTAAAATATGAAATATCATTACTATGATATGATGAATGTGAAATCCTTCAGTCCCCATGTCTATTTTTTCTTGTCTATGCTTCTGTTTTTTGTCTGATGAAGTTTCTAAATAGCGTAGAGTTGGTTGGAAGATACTCTTGTTCTTCTGATAGCTGTTTTTCCACGATTTAGAATTACTCATTTTCTTTGTTTAAATACAATTAATTTGAAGTAGTAGGCGGTTTATAGATTTTTTTTTATCTTTCTTTTGCAAAATCATCATCCAGATTCATTACATTGAACTTTTAGCTATAAATGTTATAAGCATACAAAAAACAAAACAAAACAATATGTTCTCATTCATAGCATGCATTTAATTTTCGATGTAGTGTAGAACACATTTACCCTAATGAATATGTCAGTATTATTTTCAGTTTGTATTCGCTTGATTTAAAAAAAGGGAGTATCTTAAAAATAAAATAATTGAAATAGAAACTAATAGAATCGAAAATAACGTAAGAGACATGTACAAAGGTATAAACAGATCACGTAAATATGTAGGGCCCGTAACGTCTGGAATTAGGGATGATAATAACAATATTCTGACCGATCCGGTTGACATATTGAATAAGTTTAAGGACCACTTTGACAATATTTTAAATACGGGAAATTGTGATCTGTGTCCTCCTTCTGAGTACCAGAGTGCTGAACCGTTGATAAAAGGACCAAGTAAAGAGGAAGTTGAAGTAGCTATCGGAAAATTAAAATCATATAAAGCAGCGGGAATCGATAATATTCCTACTGAACTAATTAAGGCATGCGGGGAAGCTGGAGTTTCTAAAATACATCGGTTGGTTAAAAAGATCTGGGTGAACGAGAAATTACCTGAAGAATGGAAAGAATCTATTCTTATTCCGATTCACAAAAAGGGTCCGAGGACGGATTGTAATAACTATCGAGGAATTTCACTCCTTCCGGTATGTTATAAAATATTCACTTCAATCTTAACCAGTCGAATCACGGAATACGCCGAGGAAATTATCGGAGACTACCAATGCGGATTTAGACGGAATCGTTCGACAATTGATCAAATATTTTCTTTACGGCAAATATTAGAGAAAAAATTGGAGTATAACGGTATTGTTCACCAGCTGTATATAGATTTTAAAAAGGCTTACGATTCTATTGACCGCCAGAAACTGTATAATATTCTAATCGAGCAGGGGATTCCAAAAAAACTAGTAAATCTAGTCAGGATGTGCTTGACGGAGACAATCAATAAAGTTAGAATCGGTAATAATTTGTCCGAAAAATTTGAGGTTCGTTCGGGCTTAAAACAGGGGGATTCTCTTTCGCCTGTCCTGTTCAATTTGGCATTAGAACATGCCATTAGGGAGGTAATGCGAACCGAGAAAGGGTTGGATCTGGGCGGGACAACATCCGTGCTGGGCTATGCTGATGATCTGGTACTGTTAAGCGAAGACGTTGAAACTATAAAACTAAATACGACAACGTTAATGAAAGCCGGTAAAGAACTAGGACTCGAAATAAACGTGGATAAAACAAAATATATGGTTAGCTGCAAAAATGGCGATACTACTGGTGATATCGATATAGATGGTAATATGTTTGAACAGGTAGATAAATTTAGGTATCTAGGTTCTACGATAACTAGAAAAAACGAAATTGAAGAAGAGATTAAGGTTAGACTGAAGGCGGGGAATGCTTGTTATTTTTCTGTGACAAAACTACTTAGTTCGCGCCTCTTGTCCCGAAATTTAAAGATTAGAATCTATAAAACAATTATCTTGCCTATAGTTCTTTATGGATGCGAAACTTGGCCGCTTACATTAAGGGATGAGCAGCGTCTTAAGGTTTTTGAAAATAAAGTATTGCGTAGAATATTCGGACCGAAGAAGGATGAGTTAACCGGAGAGTTCAGACGGTTACACAACGCCGAATTGCGTGAGCTGTATCCGGGTAATATAATTGAGGTAATTTCATCGCGGCGAATCAAATGGGCTTGTAAAGTTGTTGGGCTTAGTAACGAGAGAATTCCTAAAAGGTTAATATTTGCTGTGCCGAATGGTAAGCGTCCGAGGGGTAGACCGAAGCGAAGGTGGGAAGATTGCATTAAAGCCGATCTGAAGGGACTGGGTTTGGACGGCGAACGGTGGAGGGAGGTGTGTAACAAGCGATTGGTGGTGTCGGCATCGAACCTTCGGGTTCGCTAAGCCTTATTATTATTATTATTATTATTATTATTCGCTTGATTTAGTGTGAAGATTTTATTGACCTGGTGTCAGGCCATTTTTGAATTGAACCCACATTCGGCTTTCAAGTCCTTTTGGTAATAATAAGGAATTTACACATTCTTATATTTAAAAAAAATTAATTAACAATTGTTGAAATAAGGTTTAATAAGGTTTGAACCTTATTGAAAATCAAAAGCAAAACTAACCATTTGAACAGTTTTAAATTTTGCAAGGTATTAGAGTTAACTAGTTTTAACTCCTAATACTTAAGGATCTATATCCTATAAAGTATATGTATACTGCTCAAAAATATTTCTATTTAATGTTTATTTTATTCGTTTTAGTTAAAATACCGTTTTTTTTATTTTCTTTAGGGAGTCTTTTATTTGTTGTAAAACATCAAAAGTAAACAACCAGTGTTCTTTATTTTTAATAAATTATTGACTAACTAAATAATCAACATGAAGAATTCTCATTTTGTAAACCAACCGTTGTTTTCGACTTTTCTCAATTTTAATCCAAGGGAATCAATCATCAATCAATCAATATTCTGTTTAAGGTAGGAAAGACACGATATTGAACCAGCAGTTGGCATTATCATCATGAGGAATGGTGCCGTGAAGAGCAAGCGGATATCGCTGAAGCAGTTATCGCCTCCCAAGCTTTAACCAGATTCATAAAAACTGGAAATACCGATAGTCGATTTCAGTGAATTTCAGCACATTACGGCACCAAGGGATTACACAAATATTGGCATTACTCCAAGAAGCAACCATTTTCATAATGCGACCGTAGGCACCCAAGAGTATACCGAGAACAGGGGTTGGGTACACTGCCACATTTTATGATTCATTAAATGCAGTCTAGTTAACTTCAACCTAATCAGGAGATTGGACTCTACTACCCCTTGTCGAAGGAAATCTCATTGCAGTTCGTCACGTTCAAGAAATTAAAGAGGAGTACATTCCTGAAAATAGGGCCAATATTCCACAGATTGTCATACGATTGACGACAATTAGGGACCTCATTGGGAAAAAGTTGTTCATCAATGTTTTAAAAATCTAGACAGTTCACATCCGCCCCTTCCCGTAATCTCTAGAAATCTCAATCCCAATGAGCACACGTAGGATGTACTGCAGAGAACACTTTTTGACCACCATTTTCAGTTCCTTAACCTTCAGAAACTGAGATCATTATTACCATATTTATGGGATGAAATTCCCTGTAAAATCAGTGATAACATTGTAAAAAGAGAAGTAGTGTGTAACAGAAGATATTACACAAATTATTCAATTTGTTGAGGGAGAGGGGGAGAGAGAATCTTGATGTTAGTAAATAAATATACATCTATATTTTAGCGAGGTTTCGAGATGTTATACCTATATGCATGCCATCATAAGATGAAACCAACAGTAAATAGATACTACATAATTACTATATACAAAAAGTTTCTAATAAACTATCTTAAACATTCAGCATTAACAAAAATTAAGGAGACTGCGCAATAGCATTAGGCAAATAAAAAAGAATAGCCACTTTATAAATATTATTAACTAATGTATAACATTATCATAATTTGATAAAACATAGGGAACTACAATGAATTATAGTATATTGAATCTCCTGTGCAGAGACTCTACTGAAGAATACTTAATACGTTGAGCATACCTATACCAAGGCTATTTATGGAGTTTCGTTCTGGTTTTGTCTAAGAAACCGATGAAGACTTGGCCAAGCCTAAACATAGATTCAACAATCGTCGGAAAAGATTCATGGTCGTCTTAGAGTTGAATTGGAACGGGTGATTCTGTATAGTATAAAGCCTTCCGTGGTAGAGTGGTTATAAACTACAATATTTTAAAGTCAAATATTTTATTTTGACGAAAAAATATAAATAAACTTGTAGAATATGAAGGGATATAGTTTGTAAGACAATTTCTCCTCCTGACTGATACTTTAAATATTTTTATTTAACTATTATGGAATCATCATCTAATATAATTAGAATCAGAATATTAGCAAAATATCCGATTTTCAAAATCTAAACGCAAGTAATTCAATTCTAATCAACTCATATTAACAAATATGATACATGAAATAGTAATAAATGAATAATAACCACACAATATATAAATAGAATAAAAGCGGTAGGAAGGAAGAGAGCACCACCCACTCATGTTCACCTACTTACTGTGTCATAATAAACTGGCTCATAAACAAGACAAGCGTGGGACCAAATCTGGGCGACACACCAAAGGCAGACACACTTATGAATACATTAAAAATTTAGGAGAAAGAATCAAACTTAAAAAATTATCACCTAAACTAGTACAATTATTGACAGGACACGGAGCAGCCAAAAGCTATTTATTCAGATTCAAGTTAAT